AACGCCTCTCCCCCGAAGAACGACAGAAACGGATCGACGAAAACCGCTGCCTATACTGCGGAGGCTTTAACCATCTTGCCCGGGACTGTCCCAACCGCCCCAAAACGTCATTTCAGCCCCTTCGAGCCGCTCTCGCTGAAGTTCCCCGGGTGGAGGATCACCCAGACTCACTCGACGACGTTCCTCAGGCGGGAAAAGCTTAACCCAGGAAGAGAAGGATGGCCCCATCCCTGGCAAGACCCAAGTAGATTCACACAAAAATAAATATTTCTATAACATATCCTCAATCGCAGTGAATCTGGCAGCCATCGAAGAAAAAGGACTCGACGGAACCCACCTCGTGGTCACTTGTAACATAAAAACCCCCGACAAAATCATACCTTCACACGCCCTGATCGACTGCGGAGCAACATGATTCGCCTTCCTCGACAAATCCTTCGCCCAGTTGAACAATATCCCAACCCAGCCTCTCAAGACCCCCCGATCCCTGGAAGTAATCGACGGTACGAAAATATCATCCGGCGACATCACCGACCTCGCAAAGCTGGAACTTCACATACACGAGCATCGTGAACTCCTCCCCCTATTCCTCACAAAGCTTGGACATTATCCAATCGTGCTAGGGATACCGTGGTTGAAATTGCACGACGTCGCCATACGATTTGCGTCCAACCTAATCACATTCGGATTGCAGTACTGTCTCGCCCACTGTAACGATAGGGCAGTAACAGTACGAGGAGTCAGTGAAGAACCCCCCCCCCGACGAAACCTATCAGTATCGCCCTGACCACCTTCCCCTCGCTACGCCGACACACCAAATCTGCCAACCTCACCATTTACGCCTTGGAGGTATCCCGACTCCCTGACACACCCGCCGCCTCCACCCCCGATAGCTCCACCCCCGATACCCCCATCCCCGAAAACTCTATCCCGCCCGAATACCACGACTTTCTCCCCCTCTTTTCCGAAATAGAAGCCAACAAACTACCACCCCATCGCCCCTACGACCACAGCATACCCCTCGAAGAAAATTTCAACCCCCCTTTCGGCCCCATATACCCCCTCTCGCGAACGGAACTCGCAGCCCTCCGAGAATGGTTGGACGAAAACCTCTCCAAGGGCTTTATTCGCGCCTCCTCCTCCCCCGCCGGTGCTCCCATCCTGTTCGTTGAAAAAGGGGACGGCTCCCTACGACTTTGTGTGGACTATCGAGGGCTCAACGAAGGGACCATCAAAAACCGCTACCCTTTACCTTTGTTGCACGAGACACTGATGCGTTTCGAAAAGGCGAAGTACTTCACGAAGCTTGACATCCGCGGAGCTTACAACCTGGTGCGCATGGCTCAAGGGGAGGAGTGGAAGACAGCCTTCCGAACCCGCTACGGACTCTTCGAGTCCCTCGTGATGCCCTTCGGCCTGACCAACGCCCCCGCCACATTCCAACACTTCATCAACGACGTCTTGAGGCCCTACCTCGACATCTTCGTCACCGCTTACTTAGGCGACATCCTCATCTACAGTGACTCCCTCGACGACCACAAACGCCACGTACGACAAGTTCTTGCGGCTCTCTCTACCGCAGGCCTCCACCTCAAGCCTGAGAAGTGTGAATTCCACCGCACACAAGTCAAGTATCTCGGCTTCATCATCTCCACCTCCGGCACACAAATGGATCCCGACAAAATCTCCACTGTCCAAGATTGGCCCACCCCGTGTAATGTCCGGGACGCTCAGTCCTTTTTGGGCTTCGCCAACTTCCACCGGCGCTTCATTCGGAATTATAGTATGATCGTTTCCTCCCTCACCCGCCTAACCCGCAAGGACACCCCCTTCTCCTGGACTACAGCTTGCACTGACGCCTTCACCGCACTGAAATCCGCCTTTACGACCGCCCCTATTCTCCAGCACTTCAGCTACGACAAGGAGATCGTGGTCGAGACAGACGCCTCTGACTTCGTCTCCGCCGGTGTCCTCTCCCAGCCAGATTCCTCCGGCGTCCTCCATCCCGTAGCGTTCTACTCCCGAAAACACAGTCCCGCCGGATGCAACTACGAAATATACGACAAGGAGCTTCTAGCCAACGTCCGAGCTTTCGAGGCCTGGCGACCGGAGCTCAAAGGTAGTCTACATCCCATCCGTGTCCTCAGCGATCACAAGAATTTGGAATACTTTATGTCCACCAAACTACTCAACCGCAGACAGACCCGATGGGCAGAATTCCTCTCCCGCTTCGCTTTCCAGATCGTGTACCGCCCCCGGAAATCAGGTGGGAAGCCCAACGCGCTCACTCGAAGGTCAGGAGACCTTCCTCAGGAGGGGGATAGCCGGCTGGTCGAGCAGAACAAAGCTCTCCTTAAGCAACAGAACCTCCCGGCTGAACTCCACCTCTGGTCACTCGGTCACGACCAATCACCCGCCCCTCCGGAACAAACGCCTCTCGTCGACAGCATCACGAAATCCACCCGAACCGACCGCTTCGCACAGCGGATACTCACCCTTCTACACGACGGAAAGAACCACAGCAGGGAAATCTCCCTTGCAGAGTGCTCAGCGGAGAATGGAAGACTCCTATTCCAACAGCGACTCTACATCCCCAACGACGATGATCTCCGCCTCCGAATCCTCCGAAACCACCACGACACCCCCGCATCAGGTCACCCCGGACGAACAAAAACCTTCGAACTGATCAGGAGGCGCTATTTCTGGCCAACCCTGAGAAGGGACGTCCAAACATTCGTTGCAAACTGTCACACATGTAAACGATCAAAAACCCCGAAACACCTCCCGTACGGACTTCTCAACCCCCTCCCCGTACCCGAACGACCGTGGAGGGATTTTTCGATGGACTTCGTAACGGGGTTACTGAAATCCAAAGGGCACGACGCAATCTGGGTAGTAGTCGACAGGTTAACAAAAATGAGACACCTAATCCCCTGTTCTACCTCGATCGACGCAAAAGAGCTGGCTAACTTGTTCGTAACCCACATCTTTCGACTCCACGGTCTCCCCGATACGATCACCTCCGACAGGGGACCACAGTTTGCTTCCCGCTTCTGGAAGTACCTGTGCAACACCCTAAAGATCGATCCCCGACTAAGCACCGCCTTCCACCCCGAAACCGACGGACAGACAGAACGGACGAACGCCGTAATGGAGCAGTACCTACGGGCCTACGTAAACTACCAACAAAACGACTGGTCCCAACTGCTACCCCTAGCCGAGTTCACCGCCAACAACCATGTCTCGGAGACAACCCGCTCGTCCCCCTTTCTCGCGAACTACGGCTTCCACCCGAGAATCGACTTCGAACCGGAAATCAGCACAGCATACCCTGACGAACGAAAGGCAAAGAAACTCTCCGAATGCCTTATCGAAATTCACGAGTTCGTCAGGGACGAGATGACTTTCGCCCAGGACCGACAGCGGGAATATGCAGACAAGAAACGCCTCCCCGCCCCCGCATACCACCCCGGCGACCTCGTATGGTTAAACGCCCGCCACCTCCGTACCAACCGCCCGTCCCGGAAGCTGGACTTTCAACGCCTTGGCCCTTTCCCAGTCACCAGAGAGGTAGGGAAGTACGCATACGAGCTCGACCTACCCTCCACCATGGACGTTCACCCCGTTTTTCACGTCTCCCTACTCGAGCCCACAAGAAACGACCCCCTACCTGGACAACGCCCCCCACCTCCCACGGTAGTCATCGTGGACGTAGAAGCCGAGCAAGAGGTGGAAGAGGTACTAGATAGCCGCATCTCCCGTCGACGACTACAATACCTCATCAAGTGGAAGGAGGAGGATACACCGACTTGGGAGCCGGCCACCGAGGTCAATGAACTACAGGCGATCGACACCTTTCACCAACGATTCCCCGACAAACCCGGGCCTCTCCCAACTACACCACCACGCCTCGAGGGACCTCGGCCCTAGGAGAGGGATACTGACACGGCGTAAAACCACAGGAGTAGCTAGGAAGAGATAACGGACGAAAATAATAAAATAACTAAGATAGAAAAGGATAAGAGGAAGTTATCGGGAGAAGAAGGGAGCCAAGCACGAAGGAACGGAGGAAGGGAGGAAAGAGGAGGAACGAATGAAGAACGTAGGAAGGACGAGAATGAGGGATTAAGGGAGAAGACGGAGGCTATGGAGGCAACGACGGGGGGAATCGACGAAGGGGAATGAGGGATTATGGAAAGGCTAGGAAGCTAGGGAATGGAGGAGCAAGGCTAGGGAACGAGAAGTAAAGAGATAGGGTATGGAGACGAGGGAGTAGGAGGTAAAAGGAAGGAGGAAGGGTGGAATCGGAATGGAAAGGGATTTGGGATAGGGAATGGGGCGAGGGAAGGAGCGGGGAAAAGTCAAGGGGTCGGGGAAAGAGAGAAGACGGAAAGGAATAAATAGCTGTAATGTTTTCCGTAGTTAAGGTTCGATATGCAACGTCTTGTATTCAACCACCAATACAAAGTCGTGCCTCGCCCCTACAAGTCTGCCCTGCCTCCCCGTGTCATAGTCCATCACTGGCCGCCGAGCCCGCGAGTCCCCTAGCCTCGTCTGTCCCCAGTCCGCCGTTACAGATCCTGGATAAGACTAGTCCACCTATATGACCATGTAGCCTGACAATAATGGTGGCTTACCTTGCTTTCTCTGCTATTGTGCCTAGTGATGCTATGTAAGGTGCGGGGTACATACTGGTAGGCGTTTCTGGTTATGCCTGTATGTACATTGTACAGTACAGCACAGCAGAGCACCTGCCCAGATTGATGTCAAGCAGTGTCAATGCAGGTGTTCGTAAGATTGCCAGAGCCTTAAATAGGTGCATACCACACCCGGCTCATTCCCAGCCTGCCATTGCATATTGTACGACCGATAAGTAAACAAAAAAGAAATCACGAGAACAATTTATCTGCTGACTTATCCACAGGTATACTCCTTGCAAACCGTCATGCGAAGCTTCATTGTTGTCTGGCTTTCTCTCGCACACGAGAGAAAAAGATTCATGTCGGCACCATGAATCGAACATGGGTCTGCTCGGATTGGTTCACCACAACGAGCTGTACTCACCACTATACTATGCCGACCTTAAATTAGGGTCACAAAAATAAAGTATAACCGCTTATATTTGACTTCATAGAGTACGTCTATCGCCTTTTAAAGATTTCTAGACCATGTAATGTGCAAATTTTATCTAGCCGACATCCAGAGAACAGCATATGGTTGCAAAGATTCAAGATTTCCTGACATTAAATCGTCATCGTCAGTCATCGGCACTTGTGCCGCGCTTGCGCAAAACTATTGCCGCGCGTCTGAACTCAATCTTGACGTTTACACTCCACCAATCAGCAACGTCAAACTGAAAAACAGTCATCATAGCTCAAGAATAGGGTTCACGATACCTGTGCCTTCGTTCCAACCCTCGCGTCGGGGTCAGCCTCTTATTACATCCTTCCGCCGGCCTCAAACCCGAAACAGCAGGTGCCGCCGCTTATTTTCCAGAACCTTCCCTCAATAAGTTAGTAGTCCAGTCGGAGCTCCCATCTCGGCGCCCGCCGAAAATCGTCTCGGCATGTAGCTGTTCCACGTTTCCCGGCGACTCCGAAAGAGAATTTGCACTCCTATTAAACTGGAAGCTTAATTATTACCCGCAGGCTAGAGGCCACGGTAACCAGAGAGAAGAAATATAGGCACTTCACGCCCATGTAAACTTTTGTTTGAGCTTGCTGCCTTCAGTCTTGAGAAGCTGACATCTGTGTTAGCTATGAAGACTACTGTTATCCTTCCTCTCGCCTTTATTGCGAGTGGTGCAAACGCCTGGGGGACACTCGGTCACCAGTCTGTCGCCCTTCTTGCTCAGCAATACCTTCTCCCTGGTACCATCCAATCCGTTCAGACTCTCCTCAACGATACTACGACCACGTATCTTGGAGACATCGCACTCTGGGCTGATTCCTTCCGCTACACCCCCGAGGGCAGTTTCAGTGGTGGTTACCACTTCGTTAACGGCCACGATGCTCCTCCCCCCGAGTCCTGCGAGATAATCTACCCCGAAGACTGTCCTCCCGAGGGATGTGTTATTAAGGCCATCGGAAACTACACTGAGAGACTAAAGGATTACACTCTCCCCGTTGATCAGAGACAGCAAGCCCTCAAGTTTGTTGTTCACGTGAGTTAATAATCTCCGATTGAGAAACGCCGGGATTACGGCTAATCTACAATTCCGAGATTTAGTTCATTGGGGATATCTCCCAGCCGCTCCACACCGAGGCCTTTGGAGCCGGTGCAAACAACTTGACCGTTTGGTTCCAGGGTTACAAGACTAACCTTCATGCTGCTTGGGATACTGCAATTCCTAACGCCATGATTGGATTCCCGCCCAACGCCAAGATCGGCAATGGAGACTCCCTCGGATGGGCAAATAACCTCGCCGCTGCAATAAACGCCGGGAAGTACAAGAAGCTTGTCTGGAGTTGGTTGAAGGACCACTCTGTTCGCAGCTTGAAGGAAGAGGAGAGAGCTGCTACCGTTTGGGCACAGGAGAGCAATGAAGAGGTCTGTGACTACGCAATGGTCAAGGGTGGAAACGCATACAATGGTACTGAGATTGGAGGAGCCTACTACGAGGGTGCTAAGCCTATCGTTGAGGTCAGCATTGCCAAGGCCGGTATTAGATTGGCAGCTTGGTTGAACTTGATATTTGAGGGAAAGACTGGCTTTGAGGTTTGGAGCATTGGACAAACTGGTCAGGGACAGGGTAAAGGGTGGAACAATCATGATAATGATCAGTGAGGGAGAGGGACTGCACTGAGATCATTGAGGTGAATGAATATTGCTAGTAATGTATTCATTGATATGTTTAATGTAAAAAAGACTGGTGTTGGTGCTAATAATCAAAATGAGACCTCGTGTATCCGATTTGGTGCAACTAACTTGAATTGCTTATGGTACATCATTGCCGCCGCGCGAAATTTGCAGTGTCATCTTCAGAGCTTAAATCTCACTCTGTAGGAGCCCCAAACGTTCGCATTCGATAGGCCTGATATGTCATCTGCGGATGATACTGGAAAACTCCCGCTGTGTAATTGTACTTCGCAGGCAAATCACAATCCATCGTAATGCCGCTTATAGATATCATGTTTAATCTCGAGAAAGATGTTATGAAGAGTATCCGTGCCTCCGGATACGATAATTTTCAGGCTTTCGTACCTCTAGAGACAAGACCTCGTGGAGGCTGTAGTATTGGGTCTTCCCGAGTCTACATGATTCGTCCTCAATCCGATACAACCTAAACTTCTTCCGGCTCATACCGAGTTAGAATAATTGGGGCCTTTCGGTAGGGAATTAATAAAATCTTATATTTCTCAGTTCAGCAATCTCACTACAGTCCTGCATGGTCAAATAGCTTTGCAAATTTCCAATGCTGAACCAATTGCTTCACAAAGCTATTCGGAGTAATCCTATCTTCGTCAACAGGGAATTGATACTCATCTATTGTAGATCTCAGATCCTGCACTTCCGTTTCATCATCTATATCATCCTCACAAACTTCATGGGCCTTGTAGCCATCCCCAGGTATCCCATAAATGAACGTCCAATCAACTATTCCCAACGCAATTTTCCACCTCTAAACTCAGTGCAAAACACTACCCCCCACAAGACGTTCCGTTTTCCGCATCAAGCTGGGAGAAAAGAGCAGTGCTAGATTCCCTTCTATCACCATTTTCTTCCCGCGGTTTCAGTTCAGGCAAGACGTAAGAAACCTCCTTTGGTACCTAAAGCTTCCAAAATGTTCTTATTAAACATCTCAATCATTACGGAGGTGGATTTCGAAGTTAGTTTGCTTGTTATAAACCCATCACGGCGCCAAATTCGTGCTCTGATTGGTCATTAATTATGCAAAAACCACCACCAATCACTACTACACTACACATAAAAATGGTTTCCACAATCCTGTAAGACGCTCAGTCAGGAGGACTCTACTATATTGTCAAGAAGAAATGGTAATGGATTTTTGATTACGTTAGTATGTTGGTGACTCTCCCCGTGCGTGCGCAGCGCGCAGCGAAGGACTAGATGTCTTCAGAGACCGCAATACTTTTGTTCCGATGATGAAGGAATTGGATAGCTGATTCATCCGGGGAAATGAATGCATTTCTTGTGCTGTTAGAACGAGCGCAATAAGATGTGGCGGAACATCTGGCTCACAGCCAGCTAAAATAGTATTTATAATAGCTAGTTCTGCGAAGCTTACATCAAGTCGGCATAGTATAGTGGTGAGTACAGCTCGTTGTGGCCGAGCAGACCCATGTTCGATTCATGGTGCCGACACGTTTTTTTATCTGTCAGATTCCATCTTCAGACATACATTTTATTCGCGTTTTCATGATATTCTTCATTTTTAACACCGCAATATTTGGTGATTATGAACCGACCATGTCTGAATAAATAACTAAGACACAACTTTATTCCAGATGAGTGCTGATCAGAGGGTGTATTAAATCCCGTGCCAATTTTCGTCAAGTTTATACACTTTACCTGGCAACCCTTGAACTCAAGAAAATATTGCGAATTCCATAATTTTCCTTGTTGGCGGGCTCAAATAAGCAAAATCTGAGTGCTACGTTAAGATAAGAACTACCTAATGTACTTACTCAACTCCGTTCATGGGCTCGATAAGTGGTAAGCTCACCAAGTTATAATCTCGATATATCAGATGAAAAGCAACCAATATGTTGATTTTACTCGATTATATCAAAAACTCTCTATTAGATCATACTTTGACTGATAATACATCTAGAACTGCTGCGTTTGTCGACCCAACAAGTAACTATGGCGAGTGATATACTATGATAATAAGCGAGTGCCAAACTGTGACCTGCCGAATATCACGATGGAAAAAAAAAATAAACAATCGAACGACGGGTAAAGATATTTCCCCATAAATCATTCTCAAAATAATAATATTTTATTTTATGGTACAAAATAGAGTTTCTATGTGCAGGGAAATCAATGCGTGCAGCGGAGTAAAAAGATAGTAACGAGTGAGCTGTTGTGATACATACATTATCAAACCGAAGCTGCAAAGCTTCTACAACGGCTCTGAGAAGACCATGTTTTAAGCCAGTTTTATATCAGTAAGAATACTTCTGTCACTACCACTTCAATACACAGTGTGCAAATTGAATTTTACAAGAAAGCTCTCGTGTCTGCAAACTATGGATGTTGCAAAGGAGCTCAGCAGATAAGTGATCCTTTACTAAGAAGCCTGATCAAATAATCAAACAACACTGTAATAAAATAATAACGCAGGATCTTTGGCTTTGAAATAAGCAAAATATTCGATGGATTTACAGAGAAATCACAAAACAATTTGTCGGCACCATGAATCGAACATGGGTCTGCTCGGCCACAACGAGCTGTACTCACCACTATACTATGCCGACTTGATGACCGTACGTAATTATACCTATTACAAATGCTATTACTAAGGCCGAGTACTGACAATTGCACGTCTAAACCATTTTCAGCATTGCGCATGATTCGCCACGGATGATTTTCAAGACATTCGTTTATCGCGGTCCTGTAAAATCTAAATAGGCAAAGAGACTGTATGGGAGATCGACGGCTATCGGCCAGAGTCTGGGCGTCATATATTCTCACCGTGCTGTATCGCAGCGGCTATGGCCGACGCGCATCAGACCGACTGGATCCACTTCTTACGCTACATGATGTTCAAGCTTGATGAAGATCTTGTTATCTATACCGCTGTGATGATCCCATATTTTATCTGCGGATCTGCGGACCCGCCCCATCTCTGCAACTGCATGGTTTCTTCATGCATTCAAATGCCCAGAATCTGCTGTCTTGTGTAATGCCTTATGTGGAAACTCATTAGATCTTGATAATGATGTCTCCAATTTGATTAAACGCCTTTCTTTTCGGGGCATTTTTGTTGATGAGAAGCTCGGAAAACCAAATTAAAAAGAAAGGAGACAACAAATGAGATCATTAGTATTGAGGAATAAAGGACAACATATTAAAAGAGGGTATTATATAGAATAAGAGTGTGTAGGAGACGAGGATGAAAGGATCATAAAACCAAGTTCATGTCTCACTATTCAATGTTAAGTCACCGAAGCCGAAGGTCAAAGCCGATTGTCCGACTTTTGAATACCAAACTGTTGGAATAGAAATTCGGAGTCTAAACTCCTGCACATACGTAAAAAATCTGTCGGTATTAAATATCCGGATACCCTGCAATGTATGAAATTATAATATCATGCACATATCGCGAGACATCTCGTCATTTCGTGCTTTCAAGTCGTAGTCGTGTCGTAGTGATGATGCACGCTTGAAGTGGTTATGTGTCTTGGTTTTTACGCAGTTGCGAGATATTTCTTGATTGTGAGGTTATTCTATTTGCATGAAGCGGTTATGTAAATCTCTTAGTTTTCGTGTGGTTGGAATGCAGGAATAGACTATTTTTGCACACAGAAAGGGGTTTGTGGTCAGTTCCCATTTCTCGGGCTTGGCTTCAGAAGGTTAACAGGCCCTGGTACATCCTGTCCTACTGCCCCAACAAGAAGATCGAATGATGCTGTTAAAGCTATTGACCTTTTGATTATCACTGCATCTTCAGGCATTGTCAACAATCGTTTTTCACTTTCATACCAAGTACAACAGCTAAGCCTGAGAAATAGAAACTGTGGATGAAGCATTTTCGATGCGTAATTCTACTCATATATGTATCGAGAACTGACGAGTTCATAGGCACCTTGGGAGGACATACACATAGGCAGCCTAGCGGGTGGTAAGTAACTAGTCCACACCGAAACCCAAGACACGTCAGAAGCCTTTTGAAGGATAAAACCCTTATGCAGGATCGTAGTGGATCCAGAAAGAATCGGAGAAACGCGTTGGATATAAAATCAAAGAACTGAAGAACGTATACGCATGTGTTCTTAGGGTTACATGTTCGAAAAGATGGGATGTTCCGCAGCCCGTGTTATTTTGATTGGCCCCAGGGATAAGGAACATGGGGCGAGCGAAATGAGTCTATCAGTTGTGGGTCCTCAATTCTGCGATGTAATTGCTTTGTGGTAGTCGTAAGGAGCAAAAACATTTCAAGGGACCTCTCCAGCTAACGGGAGAATCCCATGGGTCTTACTCTTACAGTCGGTAGCTATGTAGAGTGTTGTGGTTGTAATAAGGTTGCGTGCATGGGTGTGCTAAAGCAAAAGCCACATCGGCAAATTCCTCAGGCTGAAGATTCCCAGAGGATCAGAACCACACACGGACCTGCCGACGTCACATAATAATCCGAAAATTAAACTCCGTGAAAACAAAAAAAAAGCCCGGTGAATTAAATCCGCACACATATCATTGACTACCTTTGTGGGATTGCAGTAAGATTTTGTAATAAGGAATACTGATGGTAACACCGGCGGAATCTGCCGTCCCTCATTATACCGGAGCTTCTGAAAGCTCCATGATCGTCTCTATGTGAGTTATCTTCCGTTCCATTCTTGATCACACATCGAATAATAGCGGCCTTGAAGCTCCGGCCCATCTACCCCACAAGGTTTCGAAAAAGCCCCGGTAAACTCACGTTCTGGTGTCAGGTACCAGAAACCTAGCCTATTTCGTGTTCGAGATCCTCCAATAATTGGGTCGGATGAGAGGAGCTGCATGTTACCTCATTTCTGTGTACAGATTCGCCATTTCCGTGGTTGCGTTAATCTGATTACCGTCTCTACCGGCTTCTGCGGCATCGGATCGCCGTCATGATATGGGGTTAGTGGCCAAGCATTGAGTGCGTTAGAACGACCAGACGCTAGCCGCCGTTCTACCCAACCTCATCCTGTCTCACAGCTCAGTTTCAGGATCCACTTTTCCAAGCTCAATCCATCTAGCAATGTCGGAACTCAAGTTGTTGTTTGTTATGGAGCATTCACCGACAGTAGAGACTGGAGACGTCTATAAAGACCACTACGAGTCGGCATATTCTGTTCAAACTCATCATCAAATCATTCAATCCTCACAATGAAGACCTCTGCCCTTCTCTCCATCGCTTTCGCTGCTGCTGCGCTTTCTGCGCCTCTTCGTAAGAGATCTATCCTACTGTGTTAAATATGACTGATACTAATACACTTTTAGAGAACCAGCCCGCTGCTGAGAAGCGTCAGGCTCAGCTTATCCCCGTTGTCACCACTGTTGGGGGTGCTGTTCTCGGTGGTGTCACCGGCGGTGCCGCTCCTCTTCCTGGAGTCCCTGCAGCTGCTCCCGCTCCTGCTCCTGCCTTCCCTGGTCAGGGATCTTTCGGAAAGCGCCAGGCTCAGCTCGTCCCCGTCGTAACCACTGTCGGAGGCGCTGTCCTTGGAGGTGTCACTGGCGGTGCCGCTCCCGCCCCAGCTCTTCCCGGACAGCCCTCTGGATTCCAGAAGCGTCAGGCTCAGCTTGTCCCCATCGTCTCCACTGTTGGAGGCGCTGTTCTCGGAGGCGTCACCGGCGGTGCCGCTCCCGCTCCTGCTCTCCCTGGACAGCCCTCTGGCTTCCAGAAGCGTCAGGCTCAGCTTGTTCCCGTCTTGACCACCGTCGGAGGTGCTGTTCTCGGAGGTGCCACCGGCGGTGCCGCTCCTCTTCCTGGAGTTCCTGCAGCTGCTCCTGCTCCCGCTCCTGCCTTCCCTGGCCAGGGATCTTTCGGAAAGCGCCAGGCTCAGCTCGTTCCCGTCGTCTCCACTGTCGGAGGTGCCGTTCTCGGAGGCGTCACCGGCGGTGCCGCTCCCGCTCCTGCTCTCCCCGGACAGCCCTCCGGATTCCAGAAGCGTCAGGCTCAGCTTGTTCCTGTCTTGACAACCGTTGGAGGTGCTGTTCTCGGAGGTGTCACTGGTGGTGCTGCTCCTCTCCCTGGAGTTCCTGCAGCTGCTCCTGCTCCCGCTCCTGCCTTCCCTGGCCAGGGATCTTTCGGAAAGCGCCAGGCTCAGCTCGTTCCCGTCGTCTCCACTGTCGGAGGCGCTGTTCTCGGAGGCGTCACCGGCGGTGCCGCTCCCGCCCCAGCTCTTCCCGGACAGCCCGCTGCTGAGAAGCGTCAGGCTCAGCTTATCCCCGTTGTCACCACTGTTGGGGGTGCTGTTCTCGGTGGTGTTACCGGCGGTGCCGCTCCTCTTCCTGGAGTTCCTGCAGCTGCTCCTGCTCCTGCTCCTGCCTTCCCCGGTCAGGGATCTTTCGGAAAGCGCCAGGCTCAGCTTGTCCCCGTCGTCTCCACTGTTGGAGGTGCCGTTCTCGGAGGCGTCACCGGCGGTGCCGCTCCCGCTCCTGCTCTCCCCGGA